ATGAGTTCAGGGACGACGGAATACCAAAGGTCGAGAAGACATTCGCCGGTATCCAAAGCAGGAAATCCGTGGGCGAGGCCGAGGCGGTCCCATGAATACTGCAGTGGGCCATTTGACAAAAGCTCCATAAAACCTGAAAACCGTATTGTATGCCAATTCGCACCGACGGATTCCACTGATGCATTCATGTGAAAATTGAAAAGTGAGATCTTGAAAGGATTTGACGATTTCAAGTCGTTTATGTATTGACAGGGTGTCAAATGCACATGCTATTTGTATTGTCCTGTCAATTGATACCCCTTTTATATTATAATTTTGCTTGGTTTTAAACCTAGTATCTGTATACTTGACTTTCTGTGAATTATAATAACTTTTGTAAACGTATATTAAAGCAGTTATTGAGTATTAGAGGTAGAAACCACCTTGACTACTAGGGTCTAGTAGGTAATTTAAATAAAAGTGGTGCACACGTGAATAAAATTACCGTAAACGTAATCATGACAGATAGAAAAAAGGAGGTTTTCGATCCCTTATAACAAAGCCAAATATTCTCTATGTTCTGTCAAAATTGGTATCAGGACTTTTCCTCTCCAGACAGGCCATATCCCAAAATTTCGTGTAAATCGGACAAGAATTGACAGGGAATCCATTCGACTTCCCCAAACGTACAGTATGTTTAACGCGCTATCTGTAAGTTATACATAGTTTGAATGTCCATTGCAACGAGCGAATTCACGAGTGCGCCAGACAAACATGCATGTGCGGCAAAACAACGACAAAAGGTGGAGTTAATTATTTCCGGTATCACCGAGATGAGCCATGTTTTGATGTAACAAATTCTTACGACACTAATTGAGATACCCAAATCGGCGCACAACGTGGCGCGGTCTTTCTCGCTGAATATTGCGAACAATAATCAAGACACATACTTCGAAGTATGCTAATGTATCTACCAGTCACCTGAGTGGTTCATTTCATTCCCGCGAAAAACATCGACTCTTGTTGCATGCTTAACCGACGAATCTTTATGATATTACTAGTACGACATACTATTAATAGTAGTACTACTTCGTAATTTGTTAGTTAACTCTGAACTGCCACGCAAAAGAATCGCTTGTACGGTAGCAACACACGCCCATCTTCCTGCACAGGGTACGCCTTGGCAATCAATTCTTGGTATATGTCCATAAAGGCCGGGCGCTGGGCTGGCGTTAAAGCGTCCACGTAGGGCGCCAAGCCCGTGGACGAGACATAATCCACCACTGGATGAATGTTGTTATCCTGAGCTTCCAATTGGTACACGTATTCAGTGCTCCAAAGGTGAATGTCCCTGGTTAAGGGGCGCAGCAGCTTGTAGTACGCGTCCGCATTCACATCAGTCGTGACCCACCGCACGTTGGACACGTCCAAGCTGAGCTGGTTGGCCGCTTCGCCCATAAGAACATGGCTGGGTTGTTGGCGGGTGTCTGGCATTTGAAAGGCGAGGGCCCCGCCTTGTTGAAGCAGTGAGGTCATTGTGTTCATATATGACGTCGTATATAGTATTGCACTAAGGCCACGGGCGAGTAAATGGACAGTTGGGAAGGTAGTGGCCAGAGTGTTGCTGTTATAATAATGTGTCAATGGGTAATGTTGTTGTACCAGGCTTTAGAAATGACAAGAGGCGAGGCAAGAGCGTCTCATGGACGTTGTAGGATACCCAGTGCAACGCTGCGTTTGAATAGATGACATCCACCGGAATGTCGCTACGGAAAGATTCAAAGTTGCCGTGAACGTACTCAATGCGGTCCAGGCCTAGACCAACGTGGCTTAGCCTCGCTGACGTGAGCATGGATTGAGAAGCGTCCACACAGTGAATCCGCGCAGCGGGCCAGCGGTCTCTAATAAGGTGGACATTGCATGTTGGTGATGATACACGGGCTCAAGATCGCAACAAACCGAATAAAGGGAGTGATATTGCCAGGGCCACAGCCCAAATCCACCACGTTGGCGGCAGATGGCATTTCATGGACGAGCTGGAGGAGGTCCAACGCAGGCCGCAAGCGCTGCGATCCAAACTTCATGTAATGCGACGGTTTCCAGGACCGAAGCACCCTCGGGGCAGTTGAACTAGCCATGAGCTGCAAAGTCGGCAATGGAGAATCTGGGTGTCCTAGCCGAAGTGATTGATGATGACTCACAGTACAATTATATCGCTCAAATTAGGTGTCAGTCGCATACTATTTTGAAACGTTTGACCTCTTTTCTGAGTTAAACGTATAAAACCTATTTTGACTGCCACCACAAACGTGTCATTGCAGGGGTTTGTATACGAAGCAATCGATTTGACCAACATTTTGGGATCTCCACCAATAAGGACCAGTCATTCTGAAGTAGGGGTAGGGAGACGTTTTATAGGTTTAACAAACCAGCAGAAACACTATGGGCCGTTCGAATATTGATGCTGGTGGAGCAGCAATCAAGGCGTTTACTCAACAAGCCTCCAAGAATCACTTTTTGACTCTCAAGTACTCCCGTTAAAGCTGCTGCAAGGACTGCATGCGCTAAAAGGATTGCAATTGGGCCAACGAACGAAGCTCCATTGGTCGTAATCCCACTTAAGCCTTTTCATACCTCCGTCATAAAAATCGAGCTCGAAAACATCGACGGAACCTCCTCCCTTGCTACTAACATGAACATGATTGGGGGCTGAAGCGTTGGCATGCATTAATTGGCTAAACCGTTTGTAGTAGTAATGCTAATCGATGAACTTTCGAACGGCCGAGAGCCATGATCGACAACTTGGACAATACGACAAACAACGTCACATCCTACACTTCGTCGTATGTCAAGTTTATGCAAATGTACGGATAGTTTCGGATACAACCTCCACATTGGAGTAAACCCGTCCAGTCATTCCGATCATGTGAACTAAGCACTCCCATTCGGCAGCAAAAAACCCACGTGTGTTTTTATCTTGTAGCACAAGCCAGACGCCCCTGGTATGAAAATAATCATCACAAGTTTGGGCGGTACATAGCATTCCTCAAAATGAGTCAAGCTAACAAGTCTGCTTTGGTCACCGCGGGTGTCGTCGGCGGCGTCGCCGTCGGGTCGCTCCTCCTTCGCTCGGCGATGTACCCCATCATGACGTACCGCGCCGAAACGTTCATTGTGGAGATGCTCAAGCAAGCCGACATCATCATTGGTCGCGATATCATTGTGCACAACCCCGAGATCTTCCTGGACTGGTCGAGCCGCGGCATGTTGGCGATTGGGGAATCGTACATGGCCAAGCAGTGGGAAGCGTTGTTGCCGCTGGACGTTGTCTTGACCAAGCTCCTCAAGCTCCCGTCGGACGCCAAGCGCAAGCTGTTCAAGAGCTGGGACGCCAAGTTCGTGCACTTGACTGGCCGCGTGTTCAACTTCCAGTCGCCGTCGCGCGCGGGGATTGTGGGCGCCCACCACTACGACATTGGCAACGAATTCTACAAGCTCTGGTTGGACCCTTGGATGCAGTACTCGTGCGCGTACTTCAAGGACATTCCCGACACTGACTTGGACACTGCCCAAGTCAACAAGTTGCACCTCATTGCCAAGAAGCTCAAGATGGAGCCTGGGATGACCGTGCTTGAAATCGGCTGCGGGTGGGGCGGCCTCGGCATCTTCTTTGCCAAGCACTACGGCGTCCACGTCACGGGTATTACGATTTCCAACGAACAGCTCAAGGGTGCGCGCCTCCAAGCCGAAGCCGAAGGCGTCAGCCACTTGACTCAATACACGTACTGCGACTACCGCAAGATGACTGGCCAGTTCGACCGCGTTGTGTCCATCGCAATGCTGGAAGCCGTGGGCTACAAAAACATGGACGAGTACTACACGGTGATCCAGCGCTGTCTCAAGACGGGCGGGCTCGCGCTGGTCCACTCGATCACGTCGAACCGGAGCACCAAAACTGCCCATCAACAATGGATCCTCAAATACATCTTCCCCAACGGATTCTTGCCATCCGTGACGCAAATGTGCGAGTTTGCCGAAAAGAAGTTTGTCGTTGAAGACGTCCACAACATTGGCCCAGACTATGACAAGACCCTCATCCAATGGTCCGTCCGGTTCCAACAACACCTCCAAAACGGCAACATCGTCAAGGATGATGTGTTTATCCGGATGTGGGACTTTTACCTCAACTATTGCGCCGCCGGCTTCCGCGCCCGCACGATCCAATTGCATCAAGTCGTGTACTCCAAGCACCGTGCGGGACGCTACGACGCCGTGAGATAGATGCGATACAGTATGTCGTCGACAAGGTTTTACTGTTCGATGTGGAAAGTGTTCACACAATAATACACTGTAACGTTACTAGTATGGACGCAACAACGAAAGGCCATTCGTGGAAAAGAAGCCAATGGCATCGTTTTGTGGTTGAAATGCATGGATACACCAATCAAATCCTCGTATTATTTGAGAAACGGTTGAATTACAGCCAATAAACAACCTAGCTGCTTGGCACACTCCTTTGAAGGATGTACTCTCTAATCAGCGCGCGCTCCAACACCCTCGCCCTTTGTATGCACTCTAGTCTACTCGAAGTACATATGTACTTCGAGTAGTACATATTGCTTCTAACGTTAACCTACGGACACCCGTTGTTTGCAATGAAGGGATATAGTTTGCATATTTCTTATAACGTGACCGATCAGTGATCCGCCAACTGACCAGTGATCCGCCAAACATTTTTATCCAATAACATGGTTTCTCGAATTGTATTGGACAAAACAAAACCTCTTACAATATTGACCTCGTGAGAAATTATGCACGAATTGTCCAACACTCCAACCTGTCAATACCTCAAAAGTTCATACATTTCTAAAACTAATATACCTTTATCATATTATATTTTCAGCTAAAGATTTTGGATTTTGTTAAACTGAATTCAATACTCACTTCAAGTATATATTTTGGCGGATCACTGATCGACTGTGTAAATAGCTCAACTTTCTAAATTAATTGGAGAAACATGAACTGTCAGATCCGATCGGTTTTGAATCCTTAATTGGCTATCAGAATGTGTGTCCATCTTTGTTCTAGCACAAATAGCAGCTGAGTAATTCAAAAAGGAAAAAATCTAAATTTTGGCGGATCACTGATCGGTCACGTTATTAGTATTTGGAGGCACGACCGCATCGTTCAGACTCGTTGTCGAGGAGCTTATACGCAGGCCAGTATTCCGTGTCTCCGCTGTCGTTGATATGCACCAATTCTGGGTTCCGCTCGGTGTTGTGGACGCTGCCAAGCGACGTGTAGCCTTGGTCGTACAGCATGCAATACTCGAGCTTGAGTTTTCGAAGGAACAGCCACACGTAGTCGTATCGCCACTGCAAGATGGGATTCACGCGGAAAAACGCTGGCCACCCGGTGGAACTGGGAGAAAAGTGCTCGAGATCTTCGGTTCCTGGGTCACCCCTGCGGACCCCCATGACGAACGCTTGCGTTTTGCGCTTGGAAATGATGGACTGGATGCCCTGCACGTAGCTGCTAGTCTGCATTTCGCACTGGAACCCGTACGTGTGGATGCAATGGTGGATGAAATCGGTCACTTGCGGGAACTGATCGGGTGTGTCAAAGTACATCACGGGAAGTTGATGGAGCAGCGATCGATACGCAGCGTCAAACTCTTCTTCGGACGCGCCAGGATGACTGACCAGCGCGCGCTTTGCTAGCACCAACCGCAACAGGTGCAACACGACCGTGGAATCTTTACCGCCATTGAAGCTGAAGCACATGCGTTCCAGGGATAGGATATCGATGGCTCGGTTGAGCACTTCGATGGATCGATGGAAGGCATTCCGGGTCTCTTCGTCCACGGATTCACACAGCTCGTCGAAGCGGCGAACGAGGTCCATCGCGGCTTGGCAGCGTGTGTGTGCAGGACCGGCAATCCTCACGAATGCAATAATAATATACAGGATGTCCGGATAAATTGTGTCGAATTCCAACGACGATTTTAGCCGATTTTGCCAATCGTAATTGGCTAACGTTTGTGGAGATTTTAAATATTTTCCATAAAAAAGCGAGTACTGTAGTGCTACGAAACTCAAAGTGCTAAATGAACATCGTTGTAACGACACCCAGTGTCACTTCGAGTACTCTGCAATCAAACACACCATGATAGGTCAGTGTCATTTACAAAACAACGTTTGTTAAAGCTGTAGTTACGCGCTGGAATATGTAATGGACGGCTGTGTTCTCAATATCGCAACGTTGCTCGACCGCTTTACTACTAGTACTACTTACTACCAACCATGCCAGTCTGTGGACCTTGTACGATAGATATCTACAGTACCTCCACGGCTACCAAACGACTTGGAGCGGCACCTGATTGCACCAGAGGATTGCCAACGAAGTGGATTTGAAACTAGCAATATTTACGTATAGCCCTCGCTTTACAACAACCCCGACCCAGTGCTACTCGAGACAAAGACTCGCCCGGTAACCGCGCCGTTCTCGGAGCCATTTCAAGACTCCATTTGTACATGAGCAAAAGCAACTTAAACGGCTACGTCGACACCCGTCCACACTTACCGGTATGGGGGCGACGTGCTCCTCCCTGAAGGCGACATGTACTTATGACCTACAAGTAAACATTAAAGACTGCAAGTATCAAGTTCTGGTCAACAAAATCATCGCCCACACCGCGCGCCGCTGTAACTCGTGGAATCCTTCCAACATTGCTCGAACTATATTTCATTGTGAATGCATCCACGATCATGGACCGAGGGCTGCTTGTATTAGTTGTACCTCAAGGCGTTCGCCCCGAATGTCGTCTCCCCATCAACCCCCAAACGTACACTCTGTAACCCCAATTTTGACTGTAGTTGTTGCCAAAAACCACCGGTAGAAGTAAAATAGGCTAACTGGTATAAACGTCATGGTACTATAATATTATTACAAGGGCTAACTAAAAGTATGTGGGTTATTATTAGGGAGATTTCGGAGATGAGTATTTATCTTTCCATAAATAACCTCTGAAGCTTTATAGGGTTGAGGAAAACTCCGGAACTTAGTACTAGAATCCCTCAAATTGGTCCATTTTGGGGATTCGAATCCTCGACCATGATTGGCCAGATCTGTGGACTTGTAATTGGCCAGATCTGTTGACTTGTGATTGGCCAGATCTGTTGAAGTGGTGCAACGCTTTTTTGCTGTTGGCACTTCGAATGGAGCGGTGGAAGCGTGGAGGATGACCCACATGAAGTGGAGGTCGATCAGCGGCGCGGTGGGAGCGAACAAGTTAATGAAAACCTCCATCTTTATCCATAGTGACGTAGAATCATCACATGTATACATTTGTAGGAACTGCGAAAAGCAAATTAGGCGGCGCCCGAAACCGCAGCTTAGTCGCCCGAGTCTAGCAGTACATCCGGCCGGAGTTGTACCAGTGGCTATCAACGATATCTTAAAAGCACCAGATAAGTACTATCGTATAGAAGCACTCCTCTGCAGCTGGCGCTTTGGTGCCAGTTGCCGAGGCGTGCTACTTTAGGTGCAAGCCATTCCTTGCCTTCGTAGCTACGCCTTTCCGAACGTCCTACAGATAGTAGAACAACTGAACTAACACAACATGAGTTTCAATCAATTCAATGCTTCGTATGCCTCTGTCGTCCCTACTAGCCCCAAAGCTTCAACGGCGAATGACCCATTGGACGACATCACAATGACCTCGCCGATCATCCACGAAGTCCACGAATTTGGCTCCATCTAGTCTACGGATAGGGAAAAATTGTTATCACCGAAATCGTCGATATAAAATCCCTTGCTTTTTGCCTTCAATTTCATCTCCTTTTCTTTTTGCTGTAGCTACTGTTATCTCACGAATTTAAGGTCATTTTAGCGTCCCGTTACTGTAATAATTGTAAGTTCGTGTTATGCTCCATATATCCGACCAAATTCGTACTTAATATGGACTGATCAAATCGAATTAAATTATGTTGGCTTTCAAATGCCGAATCTACGCGATACAAAAAATTGTCGGCTCCAAAGATACCAACGAGGACTTTTCTGCCTGTCGCTCAGTTCCTTTGCCATGATGAGCACGAACGACACGGGTGTGATGGCCCAGATTGGGGATGCGTGTAGCGCCCTGGCAACCTGCGACGAGTGCATCAAGACGTACACGTGCCACTTCTGCGAGAGAGACCTGCAATGCCATGCGATTGGGTCCACCTCTGGCTGCATCAAGGGCATGTCCACGTGCCACCACATCGAGGGTATGGCTGGGTCATCCCATCGTATGCATGTTGCATCACACAACGTGTAGATTGCGTCCGTTCGACCCCTCAGTACGTCGGGTATGGCCCGCCCGGCTATGTGGTGCTTGGGGTGTTGTGTTTAGTGGCTACACTGGTGTGCTGCGTGGGCGGCTGTAGCGTCCTCGTGGGGATGATTCGACGGGGCCGCGCAACGTCGCCAGTACCTCCGCGCCGCGATTCGTACGACTCGATGTTTCCCCTCTCTAGACTTTGACCATGTGCTTCCTAGGGCCAAACCCAGCAACGCCGACATTGACAACGACGTGACCACGTCCCTGTTGAGCCCCGTTGACGATGTGGAAGATAGCGCGGATAGAGGTGCCCTGCCTGTGTCCACTGCGACCGCCACCCAGCAAACCGCCACATTCCGCACCTTGTGCAGTCGAACCATTTGGTTGGGCAGCCTCGTCGCCTTTACAGTACGTCGGTGATGCACCTCTCATATTCCTCAATTGCTCTGGCTAAAGCATGCCCTCTTATACTTGTAGATTTTGGCTCTGATGTATTATCCTCGCGTCCCAGACTACCAGATTTGCAACCAAGAGGTACGTACACCAGTCTTTCAACTAACTTGTTATAGTATTCTTTTACCCACACACTCATCTAATCTTGTCATTTTTATCGATATAGTTTGACTGGGAATCGATCTTTGCGAGCTTGATTAGCGTCACGCCGAAAATTCACTACCAGGTACGTACGCTCGAGTCTTTATATTTTCCATGCATGTTCTAATTATATTTATATATAAATATATATAAACTGAATTTTCTACTAGATCATCACCAGCGTTGTGAACGAGAACCGATTCGCTTTCCATTTGGATAGCGGTGTTGCTGACATCAGTCACAACGGTATTAAAGTGGGCACGTGGGCTATCTCAAACTGGACCGCAGAAGCTGGCGCTGTGACGGATGTACAAATATATTATTTCGATGTACATATATATATAATATATATTGTAATTGTTTCTAGATGCTGGCGATGGTCAAGATTGAACCGAGCACGTATCTTGAAGCGTTGTCGCTGTGGAAAGATTTCCACTACAACAACTTGACGTTTCAAATCGACACCAACCTCACCGGCTCCATTCGTTGGGGTTCTTTCAAGGTATATATATATATATACAATGAGTTATATATATATCTAATGTGTGGATTACTGTATATATGTCGATTTAGCTCTATGGGTTTACGGTACAAGCGCCGGCCGTGGACTTTTTGGTGGGCGACAAATACCCTCGAGATCTGTGTAAATGCACAGAGTACTTGACCCCCACCTCGGATGCCAACATCTTTCTCCAATAAAACCAATACTAATATCGCTTGAGTCTTATGTGTTTGCTCGATCGCAACACTGCAATAGCTTCTGCATAGGTAATAATACTTACATTCTAGCTAAACAATCTACTTCAGCATACTAGTACTTAGTATACGTATGTATTTGCTGCTACGCAGCCAACAATCACACGTTGGAAGCCCGTCCGCCATAGTGTATTGTTGTAGTATAGTTTATAAGGCAACAATGTTATGGGCATGGAAGCATGGTATATTCGCGGGGGGGGGGGTGTCTCGGGTCGAGCTTTCGCCCCTGTAGATGACTGGGTATGTTTCGAGGGGTACATATAACCGGCTACCTGCGTAGCCAGGTGGTAAGACACATCGAAGTTGGATTGTGGGGGAGTGGCCAGTATGTATATGCTGCGCAGGTTAGGATGTCGAATGCGTGGAGAATTCTCGAGGAGGTGTCACTGTCCTCCCAAACACGGGCGTGTGTCAGGTCCATGTTGATGTTTCGGGGATTGGTGGTGGTGGTGGGGATGTCGTGCGCTACGTACTCGCATGCCCCTGGAATATTGAGGGGCACTGCAAAGACATCTGATCCTCGCCGTCGAAGGAAGTGAGCCCCGTCCTGACGCCCGTAATGCTCATACATTTGTTTACCTGGTGCCTTCTCGCGCGATCCCCAGTAAGGTTATGTCGCTTGGAGTATCGCCTCGAAATGGGGCATGGCAAGGGAGAGGGGGGGAAGTCTCGTGAGGGCTTGCATGGAGGGATGTTTACCGTTCAGTCCACAGGATACGATAGGGGCAGTACAGTAGCTACGCTAGGTGGCATACAGTGTCATCAACCGTATTCCGTTTCGTAGTTATATTGGTTTCCTTCACAGCAAGAATCCTTGTTGACGTACGGTGTTGAGGTCCTCGACACGGACGCTACATGTATATGCATGCTTCGCACAAAAAGAAGCCTACAAGCAAGGAAGGCCCCTTCCACCCCTCCCCCTGATAGTATGTAGCAAGCGATGACGCTCAGATTTTGGACTGGCTATAGGGCTGGACGATATGGAGTGGTGTTCATAGTATATAGGCGATTGATGTGTGTGTGTGTGTTGCCGCTTCGAAAGGAATACGAGTACAATTCACCAACCAGTCGTCCTGGTGCAGTGTCAATTGGTTTCTACCTTGCTACACCATCATTGTGTCGTCATGTCGTTACATACCTGGTAGCTTTTGAAACGGCGCAGAACCCACGTGTAGTACTGTATAGTTGATGGTGGTTCTATAATTAGGTTGGTTCTATAATATTAGGTTGGTTCTATAATATTAGGTTGGTTCTATAATTAGAAGTAAAAAGAATGACCCCGTCGTTCAAACCTGGGGTTCACCAAGGTGTAGTACGTACGTACTGTATGTACTCAACAAAAGATGGGCGAATGCAATATCCACGACGACAGGTTGTATCATGTGCTGCTTTGCCGTCAGTCAGCCGACTGTTTTCAAGCATCATTACTAGTACTATGTACATATCGTAGCAATATTGCCATCGTCGCAATTTTGATTGATGGACAAGCAAAGCACGAACGAATGTGTGCTGCACCCGGTGCAACACTTCGCTCGTCCGTGAGTGCTATATACTACCGGTAACTAGTAGTAGTACATAGGTAGGGTTTCGTGGCTGGCACAACTTGTGGGCGTTGTATCCATTTCTTCAACAACTTGAACTCAAACCTTCACTTGAGTTCACTTTCCATGTTGACAGCAGTTGTACACTCGAATGTCCATGTACTCGGAGTAAACGAAGGAAGGCCCGTGACACTGCGTAGTACTGGTAGCATACTACTTGAAGTCCGTAGTACTACAAAGTAGTACGTACATGTAGGTTGTACGCCGCGGGAAATTGCTGGCCACCCAAATTTCGCACTCCACCGTCGAAACACAGGAGAGCAAACCAATTCGCTAAGCTAACTGTAAGTACTGACTGTACTGTACAGAACAATGCTCATTGATGATCAATGGTGAAGCTGTAGTACATACAGTACTTTATGTATCCAGAATAGATCTGGTATACAAACGCCCAGTGTTTACGAGTGCCAGTTCCACCACGAAATCGTCGTGTCATCCGTCCTCAACTGGCACGAGAACGTGCCACGTATGAAACCAAACCCCTTTTTCTATCGACGAACTTTTATCCGGAATGCTGACTTGGTGTAAGTATGGATAGCCGGAATATCCGGCACGGCTCCAAAAGTTGAACCCTGGATTTGACTGGCGCAGAGTGGAGGGGGGGGTTTCACCCTCGAAACCTGGGATTTATTATATTATGCCAAGTCCTCGGAGACTATTTACACTTGATAATTGTATGTAAGCGTTGCCGTTTCAACCACCATATCATCATCACCCACGACCAAGAAGGGATCACTTGCCATTTGGCTGCCTAACGCTCAAGAAAGCTCCGAGGTCGTTGCCGCGCTACACAGAGAAGACCACCGCCGTCCTCTCGCCGCTAGTTCGCCACCGTTCGCTTGGATCTTGACTGTTCAGCTTGTTGGATCCCCACAAGATCCCACCCGAGACCTCTTCACCCGCCACCTTTGGGGCCAGCACGCCCCTTCACACCCGCCGCTTGGTGTTTGATTTCAACATTGAACCTGAGTGGTTTCCTTGCCGATAGCATCGCCTACGTCTAACATGATTCGAGCCTCCTTGCCCTTTACTCGCCTGCCTGGTCTGGTGACGCGGGGCTGCTTCAAGTTCAAGAACACCCATTCCGCGATGTTCGCCACATTCAGTGGACCCACCACGGTTGCCGCCGCACGGTCAGCCCGTGCTGGGGCTGCCGTTGCTGGTGACCGTCTTCGGATCGCGAAAGACTCTGTCTTGACCGGTCCGACTGCAGGGTCCGCTAACTATCATTCGGCCGCGTTGGCGGTCGAAGTCCCGGACGACATCGTGCCTCCCCTTGTCGTCCAACAACACCAACTCCACGCCGCGTCGTCCATTGTTGCCAAGAAGTCTGTGCTTAACAGATTGTGGCAACACATCGAAACCGGCGAAGAAAACGCATTCTATGTCGTCGACACGTCCGCGGTGGAAGCGCGCTTCAATCTGTGGATGAAGCATCTCCCGTACGTCAAGCCGTACTACGCCGTCAAATGCAACCCCGACCCGAGCATCCTCCAGACCCTCGCGCGTCTCGGCGCGGGCTTTGACTGCGCGTCACAGGCCGAGATTGCCCAAGTCCTCGCGCACGGCGTGGACCCGCGCTCTATCATCTACGCCAATCCGTGCAAGCAGCCGTCGCACATTTCGTACGCGACCCAGCAAAACATCGACTTTATGACGTTTGACGGATGCGACGAACTTACCAAGATGAAGCGCATCGACCCCGATGCCCGCGTCGTGCTGCGGCTCTTTGTCGACGACTCGCACTCGCAGTGCCCGCTCGGCACCAAGTTTGGCGCCGTTCTCAACGACGTCCCTGCGATCCTCAAGCATGCCAAGGCCATCGGGTCCAACGTCGTCGGCGTCAGCTTCCACGTCGGCAGCGGCTGCTCGGACGCGTCCGCGTACACGGACGCCGTCGTCCGCGCCAGGAAGGCGTTTGACATTGGCGCATCCCTTGGCTTTGATTTTGAACTGCTCGACATTGGCGGCGGGTTCCCTGGGGATGCCAACGCGCCCATCTCGTTCGAGTCCATCGCGTCGACGCTGAACGCGGCGCTGTCGACCCACTTCCCGTCTGACGTCAAGATCATCTCGGAGCCCGGCCGGTTCTTTGCCGCCACGAGCCACACGCTGGCCGTCAACGTGATTGGCCGTAAGCTTGCGCCCAACTCCCTCGCAGCTTTTTCTGCTGCTGCCACGTCATCGTCCCCGGCCAAAGCGGCGCGGGGCCACCGCGGCCTCCACGCCGGCGCCGATCCGTACTACATGTACTTTGTCAACGACGGCTTGTACGGATCCTTCAACTGCCTTCTTTATGACCACGCCCAAGTCCATCCCGTGGCGTTGGGCGGGTCGGAAGACCAGAAGTTTTCGTCGAGCATCTGGGGCCCGACCTGCGATGGCCTGGACTGTATCGCAAAGGACATCGATATGCCTGTGTTGGACATTGGCCAGTGGATTTACTTTGCCAACATGGGCGCGTACACGTCCGCCGCCGGCTCCCACTTTAACGGATTTGCTCCCCCCGACAAGGTGTACTTTGACTGCCACGACCAACACGACGACGAAGAATAAGTCGAGTGTGAGTCGTTTCCAAAATACAATCGTGCGTTTGCTGCAATAAAAAAAAATACATGCATTTTGAGTGTATTTTGACATTATTCCCTTGAGGTTGTCCGCAACTATTAATAGTTATGGGCACTTCATGAATGTGGCTGCTTCCTTATTACATTATTCCCTTGAGGTTGTCCGCAACTATTAATAGTTATGGGCACTTCATGAATGTGGCTGCTTCCTAGTGTAGGCATATTAATAGTGCTCCTCTATGGCGACCTTCAAATACGACGAAACATGGAAATATAGCTTCTTAGCTGATATATATATATATCCTCAGTGTCGACGCAAAATGCACCAAATAGTCTGTCTACGCATGGAATTGAAGCACGTACTGTCTGTACACATGTAGTAAATGCAACTTTTAAGTTGCATTTACTACATGTGTTATGACCAGCGATTGTTTTAAAAAACAATCGTTGGTCATAATTATTAGAGAATGTGGTGGATTTGTGGTCATTTTTGTTGCCTACACTAATAATATGTGTATTTCAATAATGTAGGCTACATACACTATTCATTTTAACCTATATATAATGTTACCTGAAGGCTACACTATTCATGCGTTGGACCCCTCCAAATGACGTTTCGCCAATAGGTACTTCGAAGTATGTCCTTCGGGTTGAAAATCGAAAACAAGTAATTTCTGTTGGGGTCGATGGGCCAATCAAAGTACGGTGTGCTGAAAATTCCACCAATCAAACGAACCTTTGGATGCTTATTCAACCAATCAACAGGCAGTTTCGAAACGCAGATTTCGAAAGCATCGGATTGGCATTGCTGCCAAATATATTAATAATACCTGCACGATCCAAATGTAGCTTGTATTACTTGACTTGATCCAGCCATATCACAACCACTGCCACATTGTCGACTGTGCCTCTGTTCAACGCTTCCTGCGTCAAATAAGTCGCCATCTTGGCCTTCCTCTTCGCCACTTCCATCGTGTCGGTCGTATACTTTTGTCGCCACGACCCCACTTCCCCCGCCAACACATTGTGCACAAACGTCACCACCTATTTAATCATATATATATATTTATCAATCAAGTCATTTTAGTTGACGAAATCGTCCCACTATACGTACAAGAGCATACTTTCGCTAGTAAAATACAGTACTACCTCGGCACTGGTGAATACATCCCACAGCCCATCCGAAGCCACGACAATAAACTTGTCACTTGGATCCCGTCGAAAACACTTGAGCTCCATCTCGCCCGACACATACCTACACATGAAGAAATCAATTTAATAAAATACACATATATTTTAATGGAAGAAATATACTTAATCATATCCGATGTACTCCAGCTAATTTAGTTCCAAAGGATTCAAACAAAACACAAAAACTATACATAAATATATATATATATATATTGTGCATGCCCAAAGTTATGGATGACATGAATGAAAAGGGGAGATTTAATGTATATGTATATATATATATTAAATCTCCCCTTTCCATTCATGTTAACAGATTTAATATATATATAAATATATGAAATCTCCCCTTTTTCCATTCATGTGAACCATTACTTTGGGCATGCACAACTAGCAAAAATACATAGAACCAAACTACGCCCTTGTCGACTTTGTATATATACTGTATCATAAACATCCAGTAGTGTACACTTACGGGCGTTGGTCTCCATCGCCCAAAGCCCGAGCGACCGCCAAGTTGGAATTGATCCGGTACGCGCCCATGTCGGCGATCGGGTGGCCGCGGGGGTCGCGAAGGCCGTGCCAGTGGACCCGCCCGCCCGCCCCTTCCACTCGCAACCGCTCCATGGGATCATTGGGCTTGTGGTCCCTCGTCAGGTTGAGTGCGCGTCCATGGCGGCACAGTACCGCGCGCGAGTCGCCGACGTTCATGCTCCATATCAAGTCGTCCACGAGCAGCACCGCGGTTGCCGTCGAGCCCTGTGTGATCCACTCCCGTCTATGATATCTCAAATCACGCTCTAGTGAATTTCTGCCAATCCAAACGCTTGACTCGACACTGTCTCTCCGCATTGGGCAACACCATTTATATACTAATCTTTTTACAGTATAGTTTGTACAAGCTTAAATAGGATCAAATGGCTTCGAATGCATTTGGGTGACCCACAAGTCCAAATTTGGGTGAAATGCACAATATATATTTGTATATTTTACTTCGCGTCACTTGCCATGTGAGCAAATATATATATATATATATATGACGTCACGTTACGTGCCATGTGCGCAATATATATATATACCGCACTGCCCTTCGAAATAATTCCGAAATATATATATATACACGACCGTCCAGGCATTCGATGATCACACACGACAGGTATTTCATCTAGGCGCAGTGATAGAGTGCAAGTACTATTTATATATATTGCACAGGAGGATACCGTTTGAGGATGGCGGCGTCCACAGCTCGAAACGCATCGCGCAAACTCGACTCGATCTCGTCCAGACTCCAGGTGTCCTTGTGGGGGCCCAGATTCGCCACGATATGGTCGTAGAGGGTTTCCTTCAGGTACGACGACACGTTGGCGCCGCCGTGGCCGTCGAACACGGCCGTGAAGCGCTGGTTGGGTGCGATAAACAGCGCGTCTTCCATCGTCGGCCGGTCTCCCCGCACGGCGGACGAACTCACGAGCAGCGGAGAGTCCGACTTGGACGTTCGCTTTCGCATTTGTACGGGCACAAGCCGCGTCGTCTTGCGGTCCAGCGTCAACGGTGGAGGGTGCATGAGGGTGGCCTGGTCGTAAAGCAGACCCATGACCGCCACCATTCCCGCGGCTCGCGTCACGGACACCCTACGAGGGTGAGATGTCTCCGCCTTGGCAGATCGAGGAAGGAAGTGCGGGGCTGCAGAGGGAGGGAGCTTCACGCGGGCGCGAAAGTGCTGCACCATACTAGTACGTCCGAGGACCATGGCGCTTTTCGATCTTGCCGTTGGATATTTCTTTTGTTCGAGAATCCGAATCCACCAATCACACGCCACTTTGACAGTGTGAACAACAATACCATAGTACAGTACAGTGTACAGTGTACAGTATACTGTATTAATAGTAAGCGTACGGGACAGCATTGAATATTAATACCAACCTTGGATACTATGGTTAATAT